CCCAGCCCTCGCTGCTCCTTCAGGATGTGCCGCTTTACCTCACCCAGGGGCTGGCTTAAATCTGTGGCGCTGTGTTGGCGTAGTACTCATTCTGCATGCAGGAGAGCAGATTCCCTGCCACTCAGAATTTATCTGCCTTTCACCTCATACCTCCCCACTGCCCCTGCTATCCCAGGCCAGCTGTGCCCTCTCTGCTCTGGCTGCAGCTGCCAGATTGTCTTTCCGCTTCACAGGCCTCATATCTCCTGAGGGGATTGGTCCTGGGCTGGGTGGGAATATCAGAGAGCAGCCTGTGGAAGTGGGCGTGCCTCTCGCCCGATCCATGCCACCCTCCCCTCCCCAGCTGGTGGGTGGAATCATCTCAAATCTACCTCAGAGGCCGCCTCTTTCATACGACCACTCTCCCTCGACCCCTCGTTGGCTGCGTATGTTGGGAGGAGATGTGCGGGAATTGTTCGAGCACCCACTGATTCTGTCCACTGCCCTGTTCCGAATGGATGGAGCCGTCCCACTTTCAGGGTTCTTCCAGTGCCATGTGCTGGTCAAGACTGGCCAGGTTGCCCTGCAGCGGAGGGTATTTCTCTCTGAGGAAGGTCCCCGTAAGCCAGACTTTGCAGTGGGCATGTTTCAGTGCAGTGAGGTTACTTGGCGCTTCCCTTCTGCTTCGCTGGGGTGGGAGCTTCCCTCTCGGCAGTGCTGGCTTGGCTGCCCTTTCTGCTGCTGCCCGGATGGGTAGCATTTCCCTTTGGCTGAGCGTGGAGAGGGTGTCGCTGCTCCAGACGGGGCAGGGAGAGAGGCAGGCAGGGGGTAGCAGGGGTGAAGGGTCATGGAATCACATCTAATGCAGATTGGGATCAGGGTTCTTCCTTCCTAGCTGGGGTAAGTGACATGGGCCAGAATAAACCAAACACGACGTTCCTGGCTTGTTTCATGCTCCTCCCCGTGGCCTTCCTTGCTGGAGGCGATTGTAACTCGTGCGCTCCGGCCTTTTGTTTTTCGGGGTGGTGAGAGGAACTGGCTGGCTGTGCTGCTTTCACAGATTTTGAGTCCTCTCCACACCTGTTCTCTCCCCAGCACGGGCAGGGGCTGCCAGTGGGGGAGACCGAATACCTGGGAGCCTGAATGCAGCTGGTCAGATTCCATTCCTTCCCCCATCCCCCAGGAGCTTTGAATGTCAAAGGAGGGCCACTAGCTGGGATCTTCCTCCCGCTCCCCCAGTATCTTGGAGCAGAGCACCTGGGAACACCTTGTGACTGTCCCTCCTTAGCCCTGGCTGGACAGATACTAGCAAAGCCAGCACTTGGCCAGAGGGAGCTCTATTGGAGGAGCAGAGGAACCAGGCGGGAAAGGAATGTTACACCAGCGGGAGAGCGAGCTGGGACACAAGCTGTTGGCCCCTGGGCCTAGCACAGTTCACCCTTCCATCCTTCTCCCCTTTCTCGTCCGCTCCCAGCCCTGCAGGGAGTGACTGCTCCCCAGATCTCTCCAGAGCCGGCACTGGCCTTGCTCCTCTGACATCAGCTGAGGAGCTGAGCCACCTGGTTAAAAGGTGGCTTGTTGTCAGATCCAAATAAACCAGGCTGCTGAATGATTCCTTCCCCCCAGCCTGCCCTGCTCCAGGCAGCTTTTCCTCTGGCACAAGCCTGGGAGGCCGTAAAGTAGCTCATTGTTCTCTATATACCAAGTGCCTTACATTGCGGTATAGTCTGTACGCTCTTGCCTATGCGCTGCCTCAAGTGCTCCGTGCCCCCAGGCTCTGTGTATACGTCTGATGTGTGTGTTCCATATTTAGTCACTGGGGAAAGGGACAGTTCACGCTGGAAGTAGCCCCTCGTTTCTATGCCTTTTCGATTTGTAGAATGTTTCCTTCCTTGGTGGCTAAAATCCCCTTCCCTTTTTCTGCCTAGATGGGTCGGCCCCTGCAGCAATGCCCACTGGCTGCCATTTCGGAGGCATCGCTGGGGTCATTTGTGGCCGGAGGGGCTCCCATCCCATCCCTCCCAACACAGAAACTCTTGCTCCTCTCTGCTCCAGTGCACATACCGTCCCTGGCTCTGCAGTCACTGGTGCAGCTCTCCTTGCATTTCCTAGCAAACCAAAACTTCTCCTCTATCCTGGAGAACCTCGTCCTCGTAGAGATGGATTCTTTTCTTTTCCAGTCTCTAGTGTTAACTCTTTCATTGACCAATCCACGTACAAAGGTGCAGAGAGCCAGGGGAAGGGGAGACCCACTTCTCGAATGGGTTCTCTTCTTGGGCCCCATCCCACAAAGTGCTGCGCGTCTTCTGCAACAGTTTGAGTGCCCCCATCTGCTAGAAGGCTGAGGGTACTCAGGATCATGCAGAATTGGGACCTGGGTCCCGGATTCAGTGTTATAGCACCGCTACTCCACTCCCTCCTGGGTTGTGCAATAACCCGCCTGGATCGTGGTCACTCCTGCAGTGCTTGCATCCCTCACCAATCCCTGGGAGGGGAGGATCCCTGAGATGAGGTCAAATTGTGATAATTGCATGGAGCACAGAACGCCTCCTCACCCGGGCTTTGGCAAAGTCTCTTAAGAACCAGCAGTTCTTCTCCCTCTCTCCTTGTCTTAGAGGGATGGATGTTGGGGAGAATGTAGCATTTTGCAGATCAGTATCTTTTTTTAAAAAAGTTTGTTGAATGAATCTTCCTTGCTCAACGGGGCATTAAAGTTTGTATTTTTGTAGGATGACTTTTCCCTGCCTATCATGCACAGATGTAGCGAATAAGGGATGGGGTTCTCCCTGGTTTTTCTATTAAGTGGAGGATGGTCTCTTTTCAGAACTAGTCATGAAATCTGTAGATGGGTGGGCTTCATTCCAGTGGATTGGCGTTACAGCAACATCTGACTATGGAGTCCAGTAGTTGGAAGCTGCTGCTACAGCTGACTTTTCTCTACAGTCGAGGGAGTCTACAGCTATAGCAGCTCCTTGTTGTGACCTTTGAGTGCGTAACAGATGGCTCGAGTTGGCAGTCTTTATATTGACGCTATAAACTGGGTCACTCGTCTCCCTATGTCATGTGAACTTCTTGCCAGAGGGAGGGATGGACACCAGATGCAACGTTTGGGTGGGTGCTTGTATCTCTTTTTAACCTGTTTAATTCTGCGGACCAAACTTCAACAAAGAAACTCAAGGAAAATTCTGTTCTTCCATATTTATGCTTTAGTGCAAACGTTCTCTTCCTTTGTTGTGTATTTTAATTTGTTTTGGTTTGAGGGGGGGTTGGTTTTTTTGGATAACCGTTTCAACTCTTCTCCCCCCTCTCCCCCATCACCACATGTTTTTAGTCTTCCCCTGTCATTTAAAAAATAAAAACCAATTTTGTACGGAATTTTTTTTTTGTTAAATGGCTTTTGTGAGCAAACTCTCAACAAAGATATTTTCTGAAATAATAAAAGGCATAGAATCATCAACTGGTGCTTAACACTGGTGTGTGTGTTTCCTCAATTCGCTAATACCTCATTGCTATGACTAGCTATTCTAATGTTCCCAAAGCATGACGGGACAGACCCACCAGCTATGGCAGAGAGAGGTGCCATCTGCTCCATTTGGTGTTTGACCTTCTGTCTTCGTCATAGACAACACATCTGCCGATGGCTGGCTCTTTCCCTGGCTAGGACCCGTTCCATGGTTTGGGTGCAGGCAGCATGTAGGGGAAGTGATTCCTGCCCAACATGCTGAGAAAGCAAGTGGATTCTGAAGGGTGATCCTATGGCTCAATGCACCAGTGGCCTGTGCTAAGGGCCACGGACATCCATGGAAAGACTCACAGTGATTACGACAGGCTGGGGATTGGGCTGCAGCTCTGGGCCTACGGGTGAGGAGGGCTGGAAGCAGGTTCTAGAAGCTGAAGAGGAGCGGAGATGGCCCGGTGGTGGGCTTATCGATGCTCTGAATAAAGAACGACACGGATAGCCCCAGAAGGCGAGAGCGTAACCTAGAGGGTGGGATCCGGTGTGTGACTGAGCCCCGTGTGTGGTTGTGTGTTGGAATTCTCAAGTATCTGAGAGGAAATGGGAACCCCCACTCCTCCCACCCCGAAAAGGGACGGATAAAATAAGCATTTTGCTCAGAAAGGATGCCTAATGGTGGAGACCTGCACGGGCTCTGTCCTAGTTGCTCCTTACTGGCGCAGTTGGCTGGCTGACCTACGGCACAATGGGGGTGGGTGGGTCTGTGGCAGCTTTCTTCATGTAAGGGGGAGTGACCAGACTTTTTAAACGGTGAGAGTGCTATAAACTCACCCCAACCATGTCTCTCTCTTCACTGTAGGGAAACAGCACTGTCTAGGCAATAGCATCACTTCCTCATGGGACCAGCCTTTCTAGTAGGGCAAATAAACTGAGAGACTATCCAGTGTGTGTGGGGGCGGGGGGGGGGGGAGGGAGTGGGAGGAGAATATGTATCTATATCCATTCTCCATAAGCTGGGGCACGTTATTTAATCTCTGAATCTCAGTTCCCCCATGTGTTAAAATGGGGATAACAGTCCTTCCTTTCTCCCATTACTTCGGGTATGGCGGGAAGAGTCTCCTGTAGAATCTAGCCCAGCAGGGCTGTTGCCAGGGGCCTGCCTCTACGGGAATTGCTGTCACGAACCGCACAAGAGCGCAGCATTAAATTCTGGTTTAAGCCAGCAGAATGCTATTTATTTGATCTTTTGCTTTAATCCTCAGCTATTCAGACTACTTGGTGGGTGTATTTACAGCAGACACACGTATCTGCCATTTCGCAGCAGACATGGCTGCCGGGGTTCGGATACCATAGCACCTCACACAATGGGGCCCTGCTCCATGGCTGGGGCCTTTAGGCCCTTCTGCAGCAACATCATAAATTGAAATGGTACCCAGTTGCTTTTTGCTTCGCGGGAGATTGTCAGTCCTCCTTGGGCAGTCTGTATGAAAGGCCTGGAGCTCTCAATCCATCCAGTCCACCCCGTCCCACCTCAGAGCCCAGGAAGAGACAACCTGGAACGACGTGGAGTCATTTCTTTAATACAAATGAAGCTTTTTCTACAGGCTCTGCTTGCAGGCCCCGCATTTGGGACATTGAGCTCAGTGAGGGAGGAAGGTAAGTGGGGCAGAGATGAGGTGACCTGGTGCCGAAGGGCTGAGCAGCGCTCAATGAAGCGACGGGGGGAGGAGGGGGAGGGAGTCTAGAGGTACAATATTTGAATATGTGTCATTCAGCTGGGACAGTTGGCTGGGTTGTGTCTCCCCTTCCGGGGGCTGCTCAGCAGGAAAACGCTCTGATGAAGTCATGGTAACTGATCTGGTTCTCCCCATGCGAACACAGGCTGATCAGCTGGAAAAGAAACAGCAGCGTGAGGACAGGGGAGAAGTACAGTCACGTTTCCCTAAACGATAACTCCAGTGAGAAGTTCCTGTGGGCCAGGGCAAAGGGCCCTGTTCTTCCCTGTAGGGAGCAGCCCACCTACAGGAGAGGAAAACTTTCCCTTATAATAAATAGCCCCATTCACTCGGGAGTTACCTGCCCCATGAAGTTTCAACCCAGCTTCCTCCTCATTCTAGCAGGAAGAAGCCAAGTGTTCCCCGCCCTTCACCTACAGACCTCGGGGGATCCACAGGAACCGAGAGGGACCCACATGGGTGCCCCTTGCCTCTGCTGTCCAGACACGGAAGGTCCCACTGACACAGCTCCTAAGGAACCATTTCCCTGTGGCAGCAGCTCCCAGCCCCTGCCTAAAGGCAGCGGAGGGAACAGCATATATGAACTGGCACTGGCTGTATTACCATCCCTGGGGGCTTTTAGGGGGTGGGTAGAGTTTTTAATGGGGTAGCTAGTGTCTCTTCTTTAACACCATGGGATTATCATAACTCCTTTGAAAGATTTACTCACCCTTCGTCACCTTGTTTTCATGGTCACTTGCATAGTTGGTTAATTCTTTTCTGGTTTGGAGGTAAGCATTAGCTGCTGCTTGGTGTCTATGTATAGCCTGCGGCTCTGTTATCTAGACTAGGGCTCTAGGCACCTTATGTATTATACAGCTAGACTGGAGGGGAGGTCCTGGGGCTAAGGCCCTGGCTTGGGACTCAAAGCTGGGTTCAATTCCTGGCCTTGGCCGGGGTGACCTAGGGCACATTATTTAATCTGCTCTGAATCTGTTCCCCCATGTGTTAGAATGGGGATAACAATCCCTCCTTTCTCCCATTATTTCGGGTATGGCGGGAAGAATCTCTCGCAGAATCTAGCACAGTAGGGCCCTGGTGATGAAATAACCTTGTTGCCTTTACTATAATACCAAAGAAACAAGTCTAGCTCAAATGCATTGTTTGATCCCTTGGCTACCATCCAATCTAATTTTTGCTAATTTTATTAAGAAAACGGGGCACATAGTCCCCAGGTCTTATACATTTCTTCAGCTGGAGAAGTTTTCTGCACTTGTATCTCTAACAGATGCAGCAGTTAAGTTAACATTTGTGTTCAACTATGTTTGGTTTCTTCCCTCACACGCATGGTTCTCAGTCCTGTTTCCTGCAAGGCATCCTGTGATCTCTGTTGGCTTCTGCTCATGGCACCATAGCTATATTGCTGTTTACCCTTATTCGCTAAGCCCATAAGGTTATCTGGCCTTAGCGGAGGCCTGAGGTGGAGATGGTGGAGATGCCATGCAGGCTTTGGCTTACTGTACCTTCTTGGCAATTCAACTGGGATGCGGTATGCAAAGGCAATGGGTGATCAGAAGCTGCCCTGCAGGAGGAATGACTGTGGTGCCCATGACAACATACCCGTAGAGGAAGGCTAAATACTTGGCTTCCAGTGCTATCTTGGGGCCTATATGGGATTGGATTTCCTCCTCTCCCCCCGGCTTCTGTTTAACACACACTGGGGTGAAGTGGTTTTCACCTCAGGGTTTGAAGAAATTTCTCCCACATCTTCCTAGCCTCACTGCCAGACTGTATGTGTGGGTCTCCTCTGCCTCTGGGGCCCTGAGCAGAGATGCTCCGGGGGGGCGAGGGGGGATAGCACACAGTCTAGTTCATGGCATTGCCCGGGGATGGGGCACTGCCAGCAATTGGGCTTGGCTGCCTTCTGTAAATGGAGAGGGAAGCTCCTTTGGAAGAGCCGAGGCAAGTGAGAGAGGACAGTGCTGTGTGCAATATTACGTGGCTCCCAGGTCAACGTTTCGGCTAAAAGCCAAACTCCGCACACGCTGACCGCGCTGCCTCCTGACCTTGTTAACCAGGGCGTCGCTGACCGGCAGGTTGAAGCGGTTGCAGAGGGCAAAGAACTCTTCTTTGTCGAGGAATCCGGAGCTATCCTTGTCGTGGTGAAGGAACGCCTCCCGCATGCTGCTGTTACTCAAGTAGTTATGGTGCTTCAGCTGCTCCTGAACCTGCTTCACTAGCTCTTCCAGTTCCTGCCTGCCCATCCCCGCTGCTGACTGGCTGTGGAGGAAGGAAGGAGGGAAATGACTGCATGCAGAAGTCACGCTTGACACATCTGAGCTAAGTCCTTCTCTCGTGTGTTCCACCAACTAAAATCTCTGGTGGCCAGCTGTTCTTCCTCGGATTTATGACACAATTGGTTCCTGAACATCTTGTCTTAAGTCAAAAACATCGTAACTCTAATTTCCCATAGGAACAATGTTGGATCGAGAGTTGTAAAGTCAAAACAGGCGTCATAAAGTCGAAGCACAATGACAATTTTTAAACATAAGTGCCATTCGTTGTAACTCTAATGTCGTAAAGTCAAGGACTGCCTGTAGTAGGCTTCCAAAGACACGCTCCTTTGAATAACAAGGTCACCTGCTTGGTGGACAGGACATTGGGCTGGAAGGCAGGGGCCAAGAGGCCTCTGCCCAGCTCTGCCCCTTCCCCCTGTGCCTCTGTTTCTCTTCTCTCCTTTTGTCTGTCTTGTCTATTTAGAGCGTAAGCTCTTTGGAGCAGGGACTGTCTCCTTCTGTGTGTTCATATAGTGCCAAGTGGCCCCATTCTCAGCTGGAGCCTCTATGCACTGCCATAAAAATCAGTGGCATGGTCTCCCAAGGAATGGGACGGAAGCCCTAGCCCCAGGGAGAGGAGAAGGGAGGTCATATAAAGTAAGGCTGGACCCTAGACAATAGGGTACGTCCCATCCTTTAAAGGCCAAGGAATGGCCCAAATGACCTAATAGCAACGGTAAGAGAACTCTCAGTTAGGCTTGTCTTAGCCAGAGTGCAACAAGAGGCTGGTGCTGGTACTGTGAGCAGCACTATTACTGAGCGCTGCCGTCCTCCACAGGAGGAGGACTACTTAACTGCTCCTAAGCAGTGCTGAAGAGAGATCTTTGCTGCAGGCCTCAGGGCGGAGCCAATGCTCCAAGGGAGATTTCAGGCTCCCGGGCTGTGGCAGCCCCAGCTCAGCAGTTCTTACATAAGCAGCCTTATTGGTACCTTGCATACACCGAATTCCTTCTCTCTGTGCCCAAGGAGGGGTTCCTAGCGTGGAACAATCAGCTGATCAGTCATTAGCCAGCAGTCCCAGAGTAACAGGCTAGAGCGTGGTCCCATTGGTTAATGACGCTCTACACAACGTTGCACTAGAACGCACAGCACTAGGGGAGCTACGGCAAATAAAGAATAGCCATTTGACCAGCTAAAAGTTGAATGACTTATTAACCCCAGCTCTCACTGCCTCTCGTGTGCTCGCCATTGAAACCTACCTCTCCGCTGCCTGCACTGCCGTTCGTCGAGGGGCAAAGTGATCCCGCAGAGACTGCAGCGTTGTTGCAGGGAAACTCTCGGCGTTGCTCTCCATGTAATTCAAGACGTACTCGTCAGCATCGGTGATGATAAACCTGTGGCCAAACACTGGGCAAGCGACAGCAAACCAAGTGTTACTCCCATGTATGGGCGAGTCATGTTACTGATGCAGGAGAAGACAAGGTCCATGCCCTGAGGAACTTGCAATGTCAGAGCCAAATCAGAGCAGTTCACGCAGTTTTTTATTATCTTGGTGTAGGAAAAGATCTCCATGAATTCCATGGGCGTTTTTTGCCTATGTCAGGAGCCACTGAGTAAAGGCCTCAGGATTGGGCCCAGAGGAATTATGCATTTAACACTGTCTATTTTCTAACATGCTTCAGGATCCGGGTTATTTTCCTCCATGCATGAACTGATGACCTAGGCTACTGGATTTCATCTAGCCCAGTGCTCCAGCATTAACACTTAGAATGCTGGCATACCCCAGAACACCAGCTGCACACATGCTCAAGAAAATATAGTGCTCTCTCTCTATATATGAGAGGACCAGCTAAATGAATGGAACTACACCATTTTCCCACCATCTGCTGCATTTTACACTTGATTCAGAACTAACAGTTTGTAGGCGGAGGATGTTGTGTGCAATATCTGTGCAAAAAGGAAGGGCTTGTCTACACTTACCGGGGGATTGACATGCAGCGATCGATGCATCAGCAGTTGATTTAGCGGGTCTAGTGAAGACCCACTAAATCGACCGCCGATCACTCTCCCATCGACTCCTGTACTCCACCTAAACGAGAAGCGCAAGGAGTGTCAACGGGAGAGTGTCTCCCATTGACATCGTGTAGTGTGGACCCCGCGGTAAGTAGATCTAAGTATATCGACTTCAGCTATGTTATTCACGTAGCTGAAGTCGCATAACTTAGATTGATCTCCCCCTGTAGTGCATCAGAAAACTCATTTAAAACAACGAGCCTGCTCTACGGAATAGATGCTCTAATGGCTCCATTGAGCCAGTTCCAGATCTACCTTCAACCGTGGCACCAATGGTGAGGTCCGCTGGCTCATAGTAAACAGGGTTATCTGTAGTGGAGCCTGGCTTGGGGACTTTGGTCTTTCCTAAGTATTTGCCTCCAATGATGCCTGAATTGCGGACAGGCGGCTCATAGATGCTGATCATGTCAGTGGAGAGGAAATAAGAGAGGATGAACTGGCGCTTTCTCTCCTCAGGGTTTGGCGATTCCTAGAGAAGAGAAGGACCGGAGTGGGTTGTGTGGTCAGGAAACACATATTTGGACATTCAAAGCTAGCTGCTTTTCTTGGATACTCACAGATTACTCCTGTACACCCCCAAGTGGCCAAGGATCGAACCTGGAGCTTTCATTTTTACACCTGTCTAAACACCTACAGCACTTGGTTCGAGCCCCTGCCTAAAGAAGGCAAGAGGAGTAACCAGCCTGCTGCACTGTAATAAAACCACAGACTACGTTCAACGTCGGGATATCAGTGGCTCATTGGACTACTCCCAGCTCAAGGTACTGCTCCGCATGCCTAACCGTGGCAGAATCTGGTCCACTCATTACGTCCACATGTTCAGCACTCCAGGAGCAAGGCGTTTCCTGTATGAAGTGATTCATCACGCAAAGAAGGATTCGCTGTAGAATTAAAGTCTGTACCGCTGTGAGGGCTGGACAGATCCCAGCTCCTAACCACAAGACAGAACCCGCTGAGCACGCCACTGGATTTATGTGGTTAGATTAAAATTAGCTTTGATCTGAGCACTAAACTATGGCCTTCAGGAACAAATACAGCCAACGAGAGAGAACAGCCAAAGCATCCCCCTTAGAATTTGGGAGGGGCAGACGTCAGCTGGCCCAAGGGTAGCATAGGAACTACTGCTACCGCGCAGAGGCCATGCATATGGCGGCTCAAAAGCTGCTTCTGTGTGAAGAGCACAGCTCTCAGCTGGGCTCCCTCGCCAGCTTCCAAGCCTGCAAACCGCTGGACAGTCCTGATGTAACGGACCACAGCTGGCTTCTGAAGCTGGGATTAGCCCTGGGGAGGAGGGGGCAGGGTGCACAGGTGCTGGCAGGTGTTACTGGAAGAAGATGATGTAACGTGGCATGGACGTGGGGGGCGAGGATGGATGAAAGTCAAGTTCAGGCGGCAATACTGCTCATCTGAGCATTGATCCAACACCTACTGAAGTCAAGGGGAGTCTTTCCATTGACTTCAATGCGGGAGTGGTGCAGGCCCATGTAGTATTGTCTGGTCCTGCTTTTATTCTGCCTTTATTACTGCTTGTCCTAAAGGCCATACTGGAACACGTGACCATCCTCAAGCAGAGGGATGTTCTCTGGTGGCTGCTGGAGATCTTTCTTGTAGCATTAACATAGGATAGCACTTGGAGGCAGCTAACCGAGAACACACCTCTCCCCCAACTCTTCTGATTTGGAGAATGTAACCAGGTAGCATTTACTCATGGACCAAGCTCTTACCAGTGCAACCTGATAGCGCAGCACCTTGTGGTCATTCTCTAGCATCTTAATAAAGTTTTTCCTGGGAGGCTGCGGCAGTAGGGAGAAGCAGTTCTGCAGGGAGTCTTCCAGGAAGCCGTAACCATTGTAGGGAGGAATGATCTGCACCCAGAAGAGACAGGAGGCACACGTGGTTACAACTAACAAAAAGACAAGGGTCAGGAAGCAGCTCCGGGCAACCGTTCTCTGCAGCGAGAATTGTGCCAGTGCTGAATACCTTCCCCACGGGCAATGCCGTTTTCCCCAAAGCTGGACTGTACAGCCAGGCAGCATGGGCCAGGGCCTCAGCTGCTGTAAATCAGCACGCCTCCCATGACTTCAGTTACAGCAGCTGGCCCTATGTTTTACATGCTCTGGAAGAACAAGTCTGAGTTTAAGGCCAGAGGGACAAGCAGGTCATCCAGTCTGACCTCTTATCTCCACTCAACCCCCCCGGCCACCCCCTCCCCAAGCCAGCAACCAGCATTAGATCAAAGTATACCAGCCCGCAATGGGCCAGGCAGAGAGGTGCACCAATCCCCAGAAGCCCCTGCAATGGCAGGGAAGTGATGGCATTGCAGGGTTTCCGGTTTATTGTCTCTGACTCCAGATCGAATGTGCTCCAGCCAAATGATGTTTGTTTTCCTAGTTCCAAACCCTGCCAATTCACCTTCAAGCTCAAGCCTCAAGGCTGGGTTCTTTCCTTTCCAAGAAACCCTATAAGCTGTAACTGATTGAAGCCAACTAAACCATTCTGCTGACAATACAGATCCTGTGACTTAAGCTCCTAAATCACTTAGGCCCAATGGGAGTTAGGAGACTAACTATCTTTGAGGATCTGGGCATTAGGCATCTTGGCAAATGTTACCTATAACATTTTCTCTGTACTGTGGCAGCCGCCCCGAGAGCGGAGAACATGGCCAAACTAACTGACTCGTCAACTCAACCCGATCACCCCGCTGGTTGGAGGTAACCAAGCTACGCAGATGTTTCCTACATGAGCTGTGATGTTAAGCCTTTCCCCGCTGCTGGAATGGCATCCCAATGAAAGTACTAGCTGCTCTGGAATTGCCATAGTGGAACAGATCAATGTCCATCTACTCCTGTATCCTCTCCCTACGACGGGCCAGTATTGGACATTCCTGAGAAAGACATGGGCCCCTTCGGCAATAATGTGCCTACCTGTGTGCAAGTGTACAGTGTAGAGGGGCTGCAGTTGTCTCCTTAGCCCAGCGGCTCACCCAACCCCTGAATCACGGTGATAGCCCCTGTACTTAACCGTGTGTACTCTCTTTGGCCAAAAGCCTGAGTTATTTGTTCAGTTTTCATGGAGTCTTTAGTAGGACTCTACTCGCATAGAAATGTAGGGCTGGAGGGACCTCGAGTCCAAACCCCAGCACCGAGGCAGGACCAAGGAAACCTAGACCATCCCTGACAAGCATTTATCCAACCTTCTGAGAAACCTCCAGCGCTGGGGACAGGTGAATAACTGCTGCTCTGTGAGTCAGGGCTGCAGAATTTGGCTCCGAGTAGGGTCCTGTGGCGACTTATTCATATCACCATCTAATGAGGTTTATTGGTTTTTAAATCTCAGACTCAAAGCAAATTCCACAAGTCCACTCAACACTGTGGAAAAGGCACAAGGTGCATTCCAGAGCATTAGCAGATGTTTTGTCTTCCAGCCGCTGTGTCATTCAGCAGTGGAATTAACCTTAGAGGTAGAGAGCTATCCAGTACTTCACTGCTATATAGGTTAAAACTCACAGCCCTACTGCCCTGGCTGACACATACTAGTCTTTCCCTCTGGCTTCCCCTTAATCTGACCCTCTTGAGCAACACAACAACATTAGGAGAAAGTATTTCTAAAAGGCTTACGCTAACGGCACTGAGGAGTCCTAAGGGTCTTTGCTTTGCACAGACTGATGGGTTTCTTTCCCACCCCCTGGGAATTTTCTCCCAGTACCTGTGGCACTTCCTCTGGTGGCTTCTTCTTTACATCCACCGGCTGGAAGTCAGTGATGCCAAACTTCTCGTAATAGAACTGTCTTGTGAACTCATCACAGTCGTAGATGAAGAAACTGCGCCCCAGGAGGGTGATGGGCTTGCCAACGGCAAAATCTTTAACAGTGTACCACTCCAGCACCTCCTGATTGGAGATCTCCAGCACGCAGCGGGGGAAGGTTTCTGGGGAAGATCAGGGGTAGAAAAGGCAGCTCAGTGAGCTAGACGTAGTCTTTATTACCGCATACAAAGCAAGAGACGAGAAAAGCCTATCTGTATGTGACAGGTATAAACAGCTTCAGTGGGCCAGTGGTGGAATGCTGGAGATGTTGCACTTGCTTTGGCAAATCGTCAGCAAAAGGTTAAATGTTTTAAAACCAATAGATTGTTTCTGTTGGAAAGAAATTGTAAACTCAAGAAAGGTTCCTGGGATTAATTACATAGACAGTATATTTATAATATGAGACACGCAGATGTCCACCCATCTATGCTCACGTACACACACACACACACTCTCTCTCTCTCTCTTCCGGCTAACAGAAAATGGGTAAAGCCCCAAGCACAGACTCTTACTCATCTTGTCCACAAAGCTTTTGGGCAAGCGCTGGCGTCTGATCAGCACCGGGAAAGGGTCTCTGCCATCGTTGCGTTCGTGGAGTTCCCGAACCTCCACCGTGTCGTCAGCCAGGTAGAAATGGATGATGAAAGGCCGGTTCTCGCCAAACATGTTCTCGGTGTCGTCCCATATGGCGTAGAAGCGAAGGACCTGCAGGTGGTGGAGAGCCAAGCAAGGCCATGAACCCAACATGAAACTAAAACATGCCCTGTCCGGATTAGGCTGGTGTGATTTGGGGGCTGTGTATGCAGAAGGATCGTGCCCAGAGCACAGGGATGCCAGTCGGCCTGTGTTAAGCACTGGTGAGACTGGCCTTGAACTCCTGCACTGATTTATGGGCTCTGGTCAGCAAAGTCATTGAGGGAGGCAGTTCAGAGAAGAGAAGCAGAAATGATTCGGCAGCAGGAGGGTTTTGACTAAGAGGACCAAACAAAACTAGCTGGACTAGGCAGCAGCTGAGGGGAGAGAAGATCCATCTACAAATATCTGAAACACCACGGAAGGACAGGAATTATTCAGGGTAGTTCAGGGGACAGGAGGGGGAAGAAAGTGATCAAAGGAAATACTGGGGAAAATGCCCTAGCACTGAAATGTATCAGTTCCCAAGGGCAGCGCTTGAACATTGATAACTAGGCTGGACAACACACTAGAGAATAACAATCTAGCACCGGCCCCATGAGCTGGACTAGCTGATCCAACAAGGCTCGAACTGTGACCACTTCATGACAGAACTTCCTTCCAGCCCAGATCACAGGGAGACACGGGTGGCAGGCATCTTGCTCTCAACCATCAGGCTGCCTAAACACCATAGCTACTCTCGGGTGGAGTTGTTGTTTATTTGCCTCAGAGGTCAAAATCATCACACAGCAATGGATGTTTGCAATGCAACATCATTACCCATTGAGGTAGCAGCTAGCCACAGAGCTGGATTATAATGTGCCTTTCATGACAGCAGATGTGAAATCAGGAGTCTTCAGATGCCAAACAGTCAATGCCCCTGACGCACTCGGGCAAGTGGTTGATTACCCTAGCAGGACATAATGCTTTCTGGAGAAAGAAAGAGAAAGAGAGGAGGATCTAGAGTGTGGGCTGAGCTGTTCTGAAGGAGGAACTCTAGAAGCAGCCAAGCCTGGGGAGAAGATAAGAGCTGAACTTTTGTATTCTCTTTTTATTGATTTCTTTATTGACAAAGCCAGACACCCAGAGAAGTAGGATGTGTTTGGCCCCTGCACAATGTATGGACTGCGTTTGCAGAGCTACCTGGGGGAGGCACCTGCTCACGGACACCCACAAGAATCATGTATAAGTACCACTCTGAATCACAGACACAACAGGGAACGACCCACCCCAAGGAAAGGCACCCACACCCCACTCACCTGCTTGTCAAAGGTCAGAAACTGTTTGAGCTGGTCGAAGCTCGACGGCGTGACATACATGCGCATGGGCATCTTCCGGAGCTCCGTGTACGGGTCGAAAATCATTTTCTCAGGAGGGTTCAGTTCAATTCCTTGGCTCTCCAGAAATACCTAGGGAAAGTGTCTGGGCCATTAATGCTGCGATGGGCTCTTAGGGTCAGGAGGCAAGGAAAGCTCTGGGCTGGGTTTGGGAGGGTATCAGCAGGAGCCTGTAAGCTCACTGTTTGCAGTTGCACCTAGAGGCCCCAATCCCAATATGCTAGGTGCTGTACAATAATCATAGACTTGTCGACTTTAAGATCAGAAGGGATCATTGTGATCATATCATTCAAAAAGGTTTTTAACTGTCAGTTGCCTCTTTGTTTCCACGGACCTTTCAGACCTCATTGCAAGCCAGATCTTGAAGTCCTGCCTCAGGTTAGACTCGGGCAAACCTCCCATTGGCTTCACTCCTGGGAGTTTTGCCGGAGTAAAGACTGAAGAAGGACTTCAGATCTTGTCCCTTTATGTTTCTATTACAAATCGAGAGGGCAAGTCTCTCTTTTTTGGTTTAATTTGTGATGCTCCTGGAAGGCGCCAGCTCTGGAAAGCAGAGCCCTATTTCTACGTTCACGGCACTCACCCGAGAGAGCCACTGAAGCCAGTGGGACTGCTCGCCTGCCTACGTCACCAAGATTTGGCCCAGAACACAGGCAGCTTGGGAAGCAGCAGCACAAGCTTCCCCACCAGGGAACTGACCCCTGAGTTGAAGAGATCACCACCAGGGCTGAGAAGGAAGGGTCGGGCTGCATGGCTTAGTAGTTCTGGCCGTCAGGATGCCAATTTATGCTAAATGTAGTGGCAGGTTTGAGATGGCAGACACTTTGAAATGGGAACTGGACGACATCATCAACTCATTTTACATAAGCCACCAAACGACCCTAGAGTCATATCAGGGACTGGATCTACAGCTGGTGTAAACAGGCATAACTCCACTGACTTCAACGGTCACTCAGTTCCAGTTTGCACCAGCTCTATAAAAGAGATCAGGCTACATCACAGGTTCTCAATGTGTTGTCACAACCCTGCGGGGTGGGAGTATCAGAAATGGGTGTCAGGGGGTCATGAGTGACCATCGCACCTGTCCCATGGTCTTATGTGGGGTGAGGCCCCAGTATGGAAGAGGCTGAGAATCCCTGATCTTACTCATTTGTGTGCTGGGAACAGAGCAGGGATTCTAGTGAGCTTTGCCTATCGCTAACTCCTAGGATTCTCTTATTCGGCTAGTTCCCTGCATCCCTGATGCACCTGTGTGAACGGGTCACAGTCGACTATGCGGAAAGTCTTGCCATAGATGGTGATGTTCATGCCCCGATTCAGGTCTTTCCAGTGGTAATGGTCCCCTCGGTCATTCTTGGGTATCCGCTGGCGTTTGATGAGCTTGCCCTGAGGAATACCCGAGTTCTCCACGATGGGCTCCATGACAGACATGCTGTCGTCCTCCAAGTAGTAATAAATACCCACTTGGCGGATCCGGAAATGCTCTTCTGTGGATATAGGAACATCTTCCTGGAAATAGGCATCAAACTTCAACACCTGCAATGTGGGGAAGGACCCCAGAAGGAGAGAAGGAACTGACATTAGTGACGGCATTAATCAAAGCTCTTGTTAACGTTTGCCCTCTGCTTTGACAACATGGGTCACTGGGCTTAGTACTTATCATGCCATCGAGGGCCCCAGAGTCTGACCACAGACTGACTGCAAGAGCATCAGGGGAGCTTTCATTGCTGGTGGTTTTTCTAGAGTCCAATATTTTGTAAATTTTTCCCTTGTCCGAGGCACCCAGGGACTGAGTGTAAGTGGCTTGAATAAACATAGCACCTGCCCCCCCCCCCAAAAGATCTCCAAGCCCTTTACAGCCAGGGGCCCCGCCTAGCAAGTTGCTGAGCTCTCCGGTTCCCATTGGTGGAGCTTACTGACATACACAAGCTTCTTTAATATGCTCAGCCTCTCAGAGTCAATGTGGCTGCCGGGCTGCCAACAGGGGAATCCATTCTCACGTTCTCTGGCTCCACTACTGAAGAGGTTTCCTGTGCTCTACTGGATTTGAGAATCTGCCTCGCTCTCCTGCAGTTGCATTTGCCCTGCAGGCTGACACCAAGACCCAGACTGTGCGTGGGGAGGTGGTGGCGAGGGAGGGTCAGGGCACAAGGCGACTGCCCTGTCTTGGTCACCCAAGTACAGCCACAATCACAGTTCCTGTGCTTGGGCGAAGCACAAGGAATGTTTCCTCCATGAGATCCCAGGCTGCAAGGGGTGTGGAGTAGCTAGGGCCATGGACCTGCCTGCTTCTCCATACCAGCCCACTGAGCTGGCCAGGCATGCTGTGGGCAGCAGATGGTGCCACCCTAAAAGCTGGCCCAGCCTACGCATTCCCCCTTGGGCTCTCTGAGCTCAGAGCGGGATTGCAACTTGCTGGGGCATGATCCCTTCCAGGCTCTGCAAGGGGTGGTGCAGCACGTTCCTTAAGGACACAGTCTGGCCCGAAGCAGATACGTTGACAATGACTAATGCAGGAAGTCTATATGGGGCAGTACAGGCACACGGACACTGTGGTGATGAGCACGGTATAAACTCCCAGCTCGACAAACAGGAGATGCCCCCTTTGCATGGGCCCTTTAGGAGCCTGGCTCTGTTGCAGCTCCAGCATAATTTTGCAAGGAGAACATGAGAGGGTGGGACATACAGGGAGATGGTTATAAAGTGAAGCATCCAGAGTTCATCCGAGTTCTCTTTAAACTACTGGAAATGTCCTTGCGTAGCTCGTGGGGAATGCTTTATAATGTTTACTTACTGTAATCCTCTTCGCAAGCAAAGAAAGCCTCTTTCAATCCAGCCGTCAGTTGTCTATGACTAAGGACTACAGCATCTGGAAAATACATTCTATACTGTCTGTTCCCCAGACCCTGGCGTTCACGGCTCACAGCCCTGGGTTTGGCTAGCAAGGCTCCTGAACTAAGGCTCTCTGTACCTTTTTGTCAAAAGCCACATGTGCTGGAATGAAGTCGGAAGGTGGGGCCTGCTTGGCTTGCCCGTAGGTCAGCGTGGGTCTCTTGTTGGACAGTTCATCTAATTCGGCCTGGGAGAGCTGGTTCACATAGAGTCGCTCCCTGCCTATCCCCATCGTCGGTAGCCGTGAACAGGCAAAGCCATTCCTATAGCCCAGTGTCTGGGAGCGATGGAAAGCCGATTTCTAAGGAAAGCAATTCAACCATTAAATACAATCTGGCACCAGCTAGATCTTGATACACAAAGCAAATTCTTTCACCAAAAAAACAGCTCAAGGTGTCAGATACCCTGAAAAATGGCAGCGCATGTTACTGTAATCTCTTGCAACAATTATTACTTTAACCTTTCCTGGTCCCACTCAGCCAAAGGAGGTTGCAGAGAGGACAGGTGTTTTGGGGAGCAGGCACTGGTTTGGAAATCCGGAGATCAGTGTCGATAGATCTAAAGGAGAATCTCAATTTGTCCTTAGCAGGATAGAGCCTCTGACACACTGTTGAGCCGTTCTCATTCCATGCCGTAGAAGGAGGTGGGAACCATCACATTACAGTATATGGAAAGAAAACTCCTTCCGCGCCCCAACTTTGCAATCAGTTCAGCCTTGAGCATGTGAACAAACCCCCAATTGTTAAGCCTCTAATCCTATTTCTAATCCCAAGGTACCAATAGCATTCCAAGTACTTGCCCATTTTTCCTTAAACCTAAATCCAGTGGCCTCTGCCGGCGCTGCTCAGGACAGAGCAGCAGTGAAGCAAGAGGGTTTATTTAAGGGAAGTGAATGGACAGTTGCATAAATATTATACTTGCTGCAGAATAACCATTTCCTGGTGGTAAATAAATGCCTGGGCGAAGTGGAGGTGTTTGTGGGAAAGACAGCTGAGACAAAACCAGGCTGCTTATCTATTAAAGCGGGGAACAGCAATCCTGTGACAGAGTAAACTGCAGTGTATGTGGCCCAATCCTGCAGCCCTTAAAGGCACTAAGGCAGTCGCCTAGGCACCTGATGGAATTTTTAAAAGTGCTTATCTGCGTCCTTAGGCCCCTAATTGCCTTTACAGATCGGGCCCATAAGGACTCCCAGTGATGTTAAGAGGATCTGGCTTCCAGATCAGGACTCTCCTACCCAATGACTGATGTGAATGTAAAGAGATAGCCCTAAATGTGAGCTCCTGCAGCTGGTCTCAGCTACGCCAGCAAGTATCTGAAGGAACAACCATTGACTTCAGTGCAGTTCCGAGCCCATTCTCCCCCTCAATGAACACATTAATTTTTTGCCTTCCTCGTGCAAATTGCTGCCACCAGCCCAGCACTTCTGAGCAACCCTTTAATAATAATAATAATAGGGAGGTCTAGGTTGGACATTAGGAAAAAGTTCCTAACTGTCAGGGTGGTTAAACACTGGAACAAATTGCCTAGGGAGGTTGTGGAATCTCCGTCTCTGGAGATATTTAAGAGTAGGTTAGATAAATGTCTATCAGGGATGGTCTAGACAGTATTTGGTCCTGCCATGCGGGCAGGGGACTGGACTCGATGACCTCTCGAGGTCCCTTCCAGTCCTATAATCTATGAATCTATGAATAATCCGACTAGCCAACTCCTGCTCGCGGTGGATGTTTTTGCTAGAAGATCCGCTCCAGTTCAAACAGAAATTAATTCAGCAAAGTTCTCTGGCCTGTCCTATAGAGGAGGGAAGGCTAGATGGCCACAATGGGCCCTTCTGGCCTTCGAATCTAGAAGTGACTGTGAATTACACCAGTTGTCCTGCTGCTGTCAATGAAACGACTCACATGAGTATGGCAAGCAGGATTTCTACAGGCCAGAGGAAAGAAACATTTGGACAAGGAACTAGATTTGAGGTTCAAACTTTCAAGGGGCTATAAACAATGGTGAGAAAAAAAATTTAAATGGTGAAGAGCCGGGACAAAGCCTTTTTAACTGTGTCTGATCGGTGTGGGGGCAAGGAGTGACAGCTCTTCCCTGAACAGCTGACTTCTCAGTGGCTTGTCAGGCTGATTGATTGTGTGCCTCAGAATGCAACTGGCCAACAATTGCATGCTGAGCTGAGCCCCCTGTCTCCATGAAAATCATAATCCATGCAAATGTGAAAAAAAGCAGAGGAGTGGTTAATGGGTCCTCAGATCCCATCAAGGACGACTGGGGAAATTAAGTTCCATTGCGGGACACTGAGTTTCAAAAGGAATATGGGGGTATCCAATCAGCAATAATGGGGTTATCATAGGTACCACTGGGGTAGCAAGAGAGCATGGGATCTTTGCCCAGGGGAGAATCAGATCCCTTCAGGGATAGCAGGCTCTATCAGGGGCCAGGGGGGCAGATATTCAACCAGTGTGTTAGAGTGCAGTTGGAAGGGTATCTGGGGAACACTACAGCCCATTGGGGGGCATTGGGTTCCCATGGAGGTATCGGGATGCATAGGGTCACTATCATGGAGTATCAGGTCCCATGGGGATATCAGGAGGGTACAGAGCTATCAGGCCCCATGGGGCACAGAGGTACCTATCCTGGGGATATCAGATTCTCATGAGGGTCCCATCCCTATCAAGGAGGGTGTGAGGACCCATGGGGGTCTGAGGATGATTTGGAACCAATGGTCCCATATCCTCAAGTATTGGGAGGGCACAGGGATCCCTGTTGTGGGGTAGCAGTTGTCATTGGGTACTGAGTCCCATGGGAGGTATTGGGAGGGCACAAGGTTCCCTGTTCTCGGGTTATTGGGTCCCAGAGGGGATCCTGTCCCAGGAAGTGGGGGATTGGTTTGCAGGGGAACTGGGGGTTACTTTTGGGGGTATCAGGTTTCTGGAGTCGGGGGAATCAGGTCCTGGGGACTGGGTCCAGAGGAGGGGGGATCCAGGGCAGGGGAGTATGTCATCTTGGAGGGGTGGAGATTCCAGGCGCCAGGGAACATTAGAAGTCCCAGGGGTATCAGTCTGGGGATATTGGGTCCCATGGGGGGTAGGGGGCAGATCTGGTCCTGGGGGCAGGGGGATTGGGTCCAGGGAGGGATATTGAGAAGACATGGGGATCAGGTCTCGGGGATATCCATCTGGCGGTATCTTGAGATAAGGGGGGCCAGACAGCAAATGTGAAAAATTGGGTGGGGGGCAATAGGAGCCTATATAAGAAAAAGACCCCAAAATCGGGACTGTCCTTCTAAAATCCGGACATCTGGTCACCCTACTTGAGATCAGAGGTACGGGCTGCGGGGGAAGGGGAGGATTGAGTTCCAGGGTCATGCATGTCGATCCATGCGTATCAGATCCGGGGGAGGGGATTGGATCTTAGGGTCAGGGGTATCAGTCCACCAGTATCAGGTCCCGGGGGGTGGGGCCGGGTCCAAGGGTCGGGGGATGAGGGGAAGTATCCGGTCCCGGGAGAGTTTTTGTCCCGGGGGTAGGGGTGGAATTGGGTCCCAGGGTTGGGGGTATCAGCCGGGGGTACCAGGTCTTGGGTTGGAGGTACCGGGTCCCAGGGGGTATTGGTTCGGGAAGGGATCCGGTCCCAGCTCAGGAGGGGGAAGGAATCGGCAGAGGGATCGGGTCCCGAGGGGTATCCGGTCGGGGGAAGGATTGAATCCTGGTGGGATGGGGGGTGGGGATGGGGTCCCAGGGAATCGGTTGGGGGAGAGTATCGGGCACCAGGGGAATCGGGTCCCGGGGGGCTCGGGTCCGGGGGGGGGGGCCCGCGCTCTCCTCACCGTGGGGTCGCTGAAGGCGCTGCCCGGCAGCAGGGGCAGCCCCTGGACGGGATGGGCGCTCATGGCCAGCGGGCGCCTGGCGCGGCGGCTCCGGTCCCCAGCCTGCCCCGGCGCCCGGCAACGCCGTCACCCTGGCAACCGTAAACATTCCAGCGCTCGCTTGCTCGCTAAGCGCGCGGGCTGCGAGGGATGCGCCGCTTCTGGGCATGCGCGCTGGGTGCAGCCGGCTCCTCCCGCGGGAGCCGGGGGCTAGTGCGAGTGTTTCCCGGGGTGGGGGCTTTGCCCAGAGAGCGCTGCCAAGCCCCACCTGGCAGCCCCCTCCGCCTCCCCTCCCCCCCCCCGTGCCAGGGTGCAGCGCAGCCAGCACGGGGCTGGGCAGGGACTCGCAGCACCAAGCCCCTGCCCCCCGCCTGTGCGCTAGGGCCCCTTCCACCGGCCGGGGGGGAGAGGTCGTCACACACCCTGGGCTGGCCTGTCCCCTGTCCTCCGCCTGTGCGCTAGGGCCCCTTCCACCGGCTGGGCTTGGGATGGGGGTCCCCTGCCCACTCCCCTGCCTGTGCGCTAGAGCCCTTTCCACCTGCTGGGCGAGGGAGGGGGGGGGAATCACACACCCTTGGCTGGCCAGTACCCTGCTCCCCCAGGAGCGTGTACCAGGTCCCCTCCACCTGCTGGGCTGGGGGAGAGGTCACACTATCCAGGTGTAATCAGGGGCAGGGGGAATGGTCCTGCTATTGTGAGGCACTTTCCTGGCTTATACACTACCCCAGTGGACTGGGCTAGCAAAAGGATCTGAGTCCTCACTCCCACTTCCTTTACCCAGAGGCCTACCTGACCTCGAGGACCCCCCTTCCAGTCTCCTGTGTGGCAGAGTCCTTGTAACCCCGACAAGGCTGGGCCCAGGATTCCTGAGGGGCTCGACACCCTGATCTTGTTGTGGTCACTTAGGACAGGGGCTAGGGTATCCCCATTCCGGGATACTCTCTCCGCTCTGGATGCTTCCCTAGCTCACTGATCATTACACCTAGTTCAAGCAAATACAATTTATTAAACAGCAACCAATTTAAAAAAAATAAGGAAAAACTGGGAAAGGTTAAAGGGAAACATCACCCTGCTCGGTGGCATGGGGACATCACAAACAGCCGTTTCTGGAATGTAAGGGATGTTCAGACTGTTCATCAGATGTGCCAGGCCTCCTTCCCAGGCCCAGGCTGTGCTGCAGGGATGCTGCGGGTCGAACACTTGCTCTGGCGGTGGCCACATGCCTTCAGGCTCTAGGTGGGAGAGCTCTTCTTCCCAGCGTCATCCCCCGGTCGGGGTTATGATCCCCTCCAGGTCTGGCCTGCAAGGCCTCTTAGCTGGGGGTGTCTCCCTGCATGGGGCCCGCTGCCCCGGGTCCCACCTCGCTCTTCCCAGCTGCTCGCTGCACTTGGCTCCGGACTGCTCCAGCCCCACCACTGCTGCTTCTCCACCTCCAACACAGCTCCCTGGGCTGCTTCTCTGCCCCCCTTCCCCCCACAACTCCATTTTGGATCAGGATCCCTGTAATTACAACACCATGACATTTCAGATTTAAATAGCAGAAATCATGACATTTATGATTTTTAAAATCCTATGACCGTGAAATTGACCAAAATGGACCATGAATTTGGTAGGGCCCTACTCATGATTTTTGAACATTTGGGGCTGGCCATACTGAGGGCCATCCCATAACCTCCCCCCATTTCACACACTCTCTTCGTGTCCAAACAGCATCTATGCAGGAGTGACCAGCTCTTCAACGGGAAAACAGGGACAGCTGCGGTGTGGGTAGGACCCAGGGGGTGCACCCAGGACGGGTTTGTTTTTTAGGGCAACAGCCCTCCATCGTCCCACACACACACCGAGTGAGGGGTCAGGCTGGCTCAGGGACTCATGTGGAGGGGGCAGAAGCTGGTGGGGAAAGCGTGTGAGGGTGGGGAGGGCCAAGTGACAACATGCAGCCGCTCTGCCTGGGAAGGTTCTGGGAAATTCACAGGCCCTCAGCGTGCCTGTC